GCTATCTTAAATTTGCCCTTTATTTTGTCTCAAATTTTAGTTAGACCAGCCCACCTATACTTGTTCAAAACAAGTATTACAAATCTAGTTATTATTATTATCATCAACATTGTCACCGGAGCAAGTGTCGCTTCAGGCGGAGCAAATGTCGGCGGAGCAATTGTTGGCGGAGCAATTGTCGGCGGAGCAAATGTTACCGGAGCAATTATCGCGTTTTGCGGAGCAATTGTCGGCGGAGCAATTGTCGGCGGAGCAAATGTCGGCGGAGCAACTGTCGTTCGAGGAGCATTTGTCACCGGAGCAATTGTCGCGTTTTGCAGAGCAATTGTCGGCGGAGCAAATGTCGGCGGAGCAAATTTCGGCGTAGCATATGTCGGCGGAGCAAATGTCGGCGGAGCAATTGTCGGCGAAGCAAATGTCGCGGAGCAAATGTCGCGGAGCAATTGTCGCGTTTTGCGGAGTAAATGTCGGCGGAGCAATCGTCGGCGGAGCATGTGTCGGGTTACCCATTTTAGATCCCAAAATGTGTGAAATTTAGCCAATACGATCATACCAATTCAGCTCCACTTTTTAAAAAAAACACGGTGACCGTTAATTAATTTTTTAATTAAAAATTACAATACATGAGCCGGCTAATTGTGGGTAATATAAGCAACACGAAAATGACAACAAAAAAGCCAACATCGGCATTGGCTGAAATACGACGTAAAATGCGTTATTTCGTTTTTTTCAACGGTTTTTTCAAATTTTTCAAAATATCTAATATTTGTGGTACACCGTAGAAATAGTTATATTTCCGCCGTCTCTGAACCGATTTTGATCAAACAAAGATGATTTTGTCATTTAAATAGTATGTTTTTTCGAATTTGACACTCAGTTTTTCATTATCTCACAAAAAAATATTTTGTGTAACACCCTCTGCAACAGAACTCAACTATCCCTTTAAACGGCCAAACTGCTCTACCATGCCAAAACCACGCAAATGGGACAGGTTTCAATAATCATCTATCAAATAACATTTTTAATCGTTCCAGCATTCACGCGTGATGTCGGGCTTTTTAGAGGTGTTGTGGTCTAGAAGATAAGTCTACCGACTGCAGATCACAAGGTACGGGGTTCAAATCCCAGCCCGGCAGTAACGTCCTTTGGCAAGACGATAATCTACATTTTGCCACCCTCCACCCAGGTGTTAAACGGGTACCCGGTAGGATGCGAAGTTAATGTAGTTAGCTCAGCATTGTGAGCGTCTATAAAATGATGTGTTGCTGGAATGCTCCCCAAGGAGTGGATAATGGCTCACATTGTGTCCGATGACCGGGGTAATAGTATATTTGTAAAACGCTTTATAGAGACATCATCGATATATCAAGCGCTAAATAAAAGAAAAATATTATTACAATTATTATTAATACAGGTAGGAAAAGACAATCCTAATGTCATCGTGAACTACGGTTTAGGTACACTACTAGTATATTACTTACTACATTTTTAACCATATGCTTTAAATTTGAATTGTGCTCGCTTTACTCTGCACATACTTGCTGCAATACTTACATGTTTCAAAAATGAGATGAAACAAAATTAATGAGAGAAAGTGAAGTTTACTTCGAATGATACTCTGAACTTTGGCCCCTTAAGTATCTCTTGTCTATAAGTGATCCAACATTTTGCTCATGTGGCAATCGCTCCTTGCTTGATTTCGTCAAAGATGTAGGGTTAGATGGTCGTAACATGTTTTTAAATTCGTTTTCGGTTTTAGATAACGGTTAGGGTTTGGTTTAGGGTTAGGATTAGCCCCCTGTCCACACACAACATTTTCCGTGACTAATCATGATTAGCTATACCGTTTCGCGATAGTGATACCGTTTCGCGATAGTTTTACGACCAAAATTGTAGGTGTGGACGCTCACTAACGATACGTCGTATAACGAAACTAGTCTAACGAAACGCAGGTTTGGGCATCGTTTCGAACTGAAACTCAATAAAGAATCACGCCTAATCACGGAAATGTTGTGTGTGGACAGGGGGACCCCCTGGGGGAGTGTAACTAGTGTAACTAACTGGGCGGGGCTTAACGTGACCTCGAGCGAAATGAGACCAGACCTCTTATCACTATCGCGAAACTCTATAAAGAATCACGGAAAATGTTGTGTGTGGACAGGGGGCATTTTATACGATGATTCTTTAGTGACGACGTTTCTTGTGTGTGGACATCCTGGAATTTATACGATGATTCTTTATACGACGTATCGTTATAGAGTTTCGCGATAAATTGTTTTGTGTGTGGACACGCTGTAGGTATAATAGTGCTTGGTCCAAGGTCGAAGTAATTAATTCGTTTAGTGTAGGAATTTTAACGCAGAGCAATTATCGTAGGACAATAATACGTCATATTATGATGTATCTGTAATATTGTTAAAACATAAATGTAACCTTCTATCAATAAATATTGTAGGGGTCTTATACCACAGATTAGAGGGAAGCAAATTCAAACATTATCCCCTAAATGGTTTCAAGTCGCATAGAGTTGTACAACGTCTAGCACGTCCAGTAGCACAATGCTTAAATCAGATCTTTCACCCCACTTCATATAGGCCTATATGCTTATCTACTTTAATAGTTTATATTTTGGAACTTTGAGGTGATTACTTCACAAAAGAGACAATAAACCGCAGGTAAACTTCTATAAATGTTGAATGAGGGCGTTATTTAATTGTCTTATCACAAAGGGAGTGCATACTTAAAGCCGTTAAGTGGATAATGAGATAAGACTATGTCAATTGAGACGATTAGAAGTACCATCATCATCAGCAGGATTGTGAAGGAGCTCGTTATATGATGTATGAATTCAATCTTTGATCGTAAATAACTAGAATGCGTGCCATGACCCGATTTGATAAATATTACTGACAATGCAAAGAAGCTTGCGTTTGCGGACATTTATGCTTGAGACCATCTGATATGTGTAAGATGTGAGTTGGTTTAGTGGTACGCTCACTTGCGTCGTCAGACCACGGTTCGAAACTGAGTCACGTCTTTCGAATGGTGAATTTAAAGGTCGGTCCCCAAGCTGTAATTACCCGATTACACACGCGCACATACACACATATATTGTAGAATGAGACAAGCTAAGATTATAAATTGTGTGCGGGTAAGCCTGAATCCGATGACCGGGGTAATAATATATCTGTAAAGCGCTTAGGCACATCGTTGGATCGGTGTATTGAGCGCTATATAAAAAACGGATTATTATTAATGTCACAGCCACCGTCTCAAATGATGTCTGATAAAGACAAAAATGAAAAAGCGTTTTGGTATAAATGATTACAGCTCAGTAGTATTAATCAGAATAGCATGTCAGAACATATCAGCTACTGCTAGTATGCTATTTTTAACATAAGAATGGCCAGAAGATAAAGCTCGCAATACATTTATACTTTAATTAGCCTGTTCTTTAAAGATATAACAAAATAGCTACCAAGAATTATATGCATCTCCTTCATATTATTATGGGGTGAATGTCCGTCAAGACAAGGCAAATGTGTGATGCCAAGGTTTTTAGAGGAGCTTATAACATTCAGTAGATAAAACCGAAAAAGCTGAAGGATGTTACACACAATTAATGTTGCTTCTGATAACCATTTAATCATTTATAATGTCTATAGATGTATGTGGATTACGGGATAAGAAGATGTCGCTCCAGCCGGTCGCTGACCGATAAAATAAAGGATTACTAAGAAAATGATTCCGAGTGGAAAAAATTACCAGGAGGTTAAGCAAAGTGCTGTTTAGAGACATAAACGGTGATGAGATTAAAGATCTACATAATGTATAATGCATAATGTACACCCGTTGCAATTTTTTTTCTTGGGGAGGGGGCATACGAAGGGGTTGTACACAGGGTCATATGAATGCGAATATTTATTTTGATGAAAGAAAACATAGTGACGAAACGACGGTGAAATAAGTCAAGTTTTAAATATTGTCCTCAAGACAGAATGATACTGATAATAATTAGTTTCCTCAAGGGATCTTGTATAGATTTTTCCTCATTCATATTTGCTTATGGCAGCGAGAGAACACACACCTCCCATGTATACACCGCTCTCCCGCAGGAAAGAACACAAAAAAAGTATTTATTCCAAGTTAAATGACTGAATTCCTCAAATGAAATATCCCATTATCCAACATATTTTCCCTTGATACGTCATGCATGAAAAGTGACATTTAATCTCCATAGGTACCTCTTTCACACTTCATCCGACTGACACCCTGGTGTGAATCATCCCTCTATTCCTTTAACCTTTAACCTTTGACCTTTGACCTTTGACCTATGGTCTTTCCCGAATTTGTTTCTCAAAGTTTTGTAGGTTACAATTTGCGTCATGAATCGAAGTTGGTATTGACAATGTTGACTGGAGAATGACAGTGTCACATAATAATCTTATACGCCAGGTCTATCGTCACTATGCTGCTGCACTATCATGTCAGTTATGTTACCACGGTAACAGAACACTTCGATGTTCTACCAGATAATGTGATGTAATGGATTCCCATATTTGATCTAAGGTGCTATATCACAGTATAAATGGCCGAGTAAACGGCCTTTTTAAAAATGGTAAACTTGTTACGCTGGATGTCCCAGCGCATCGAATGGGATAAACATATCTAAAAGGCAGAAAGTTTGGGCAAGCGGTATTCCAGGTAAGGGATACTCCCACTTGTGTCATCATAATTATTTGGAAATCGTTTTACGGGGAATGGTACAGGTTGCCATAAAAGCATAACACTATCAGTTTTTTTTTAATATTTCTTGGAATATTCCATGGAATATTTCTTTTGAATGATGGTTTTCTTTTTATTGATCCATACAGGAAGGAAAATTAATTTTGAATAAGAAGGAATAGGAAGGATCTGTCAAACTAACTGATTCAATTCCTGTTTGATCTCCTTAGGTCCAGCTTATATCTCATTTCAAAACAAAATTCTAAGAAGGTTACCTTTTCATCATCCATGCTGAAAAATAAAGGCGGTAAACACTGGATCACAAATAGAGATGACAAAATCGGTCAATCCATTGATAGTTTCCCAAATTGATTGATGGAATTATTTATTCGGCTACTATTCTATCCTTCTTGTGAGGGTTTCGAATCCACCTCTCTAAATTTGTAGTCATCAGATTCCAGCTGGTTACCGAGACAGATGAAGCACAGTTTGGTCCGATGGGTACCAAGTCCAAACCCCTAAATGACCGACCCAGAACTTTGTTGGAGTGCCTCTAACAGCGGTTGATGACATGCAGTTATTTTTGGCACACACGGACAAATTCGCGGTTATCTGCAGTGATTTTACGACTGCTGTTGATTAGACGCACGGGGCAAATAAAAGTCCGAATATCTGGAGTACATTGATAGTAGCGTAAAGGCCCGCGTAACTATTTCTCGTCGATTATTTATTGTTTTAAATATCATTTTTGGTTGAAGAATCGCAATTCTTAGCGTATTGAATTCCTCTTTAAGACTTCATAGTGGGATATAAGATTGATAGAGAATTTTACACACTGATCCAATGACCATGCAAGATACAGAGGGACGACACGTGTCATTCGCTCCCATCAAATTGAACGGGACAGAAAGACTTGGGAGAGGGAAGAGAACGTGAAAACAAGACGGTACGACCCCATTATACACCCCCTAATCGATGAGATCAGTGGCGGATCCAGCCGGCTGGAAGAGAGGGGGCCCAATCCGTGAGAAAATATTAGTTGCGACTCAGCCGTCGGTGAATAAGCGGGGGGGGGGGGGGGGGGTAGTAGGCACTATTTTTGTCCAATTTTTCAGGAAATATTTTGTGCCGACTCAGTCAGCCGGTGATTGAGCGGGGGGGGGGGGGTGAGACCTTTATTTTTATTTTTTTGACCTAATTCGTGAGATTTGTTTTTGTTTCATTTGTTTTTTGTTGTTGACCCGTCAGCCCCCCCCCCCCCCCCCGGGGGATCCACACCTGTAGAGGATCCAGCCGGCGTCAAGGGTGGGGGGTAGCCAAATCTTAATACAAAATTTAGTGCCGTCTCAGCCGGCCGGCGAAAAAGCGGGGGGGGGGGCGCTTTTGTTTTTTTTTTGTTTTATAAAGGTTAACTTTACGTTATCATCCTATTTTTTTATCGTTTTGGGGGGCGGGGGCGGGCCGGAAAATCGCTACGTGGATCCGCCCCTGGATGAGATGAACTGTATTTAATCCATTAAGTGGTGTCCCCCCCCCCACACACACATAATGATTACAGATACCCCCCCCCCCTTCAATTTCTTAACCTAGGCTACACCACTGTGCCCTAAGCAGCTATTATTTCCCTTGACACGGATATAAATGAGAATAAGCCTTGGTAATGGTGTCCCTTTCAGAAGTCCAGCAAAATCATGGACAGAACATTAACATGATAAATTTCCTTGGAGCCCATATATTTTGATACAAGTTTTCTTGAATTTCCAATTTTTCAATTAAATCAAATTCAATTTATTTCTCCACAAATGCCAAACATAGGAAAATACATGCATACAATACAATAATAGAACATGTACATCATATATAAAACGACTCCATATGGAGCAATGTATGTTTTAAAAAGAATAAATCAGCAAAATTAATGTGGAAGGGGAAGTCAAAAATCAAAAATGATTTGTCGAGGACTACCCCCAATACTACAACAAAAAGATTATACAATTAAAATTAGATATAAGGTCAAATCAATCCATTCTAGCTATCAGGAGTGAATCTTATTTATGATAAACTGAGTTCAACCTCTCTGTCACCTTTGCATAGAGTTCCCTCTTCAATCCACCGACCAGATACCGATCCGCAGAGGTTTGGTGGGGTCACCATCTCCCAAAAGACAAAAAATTGTAATAGATGATACTGAGTTTTCAATACAAGAAAGTTAAAACGGGCTGCCCCCTCTTCACCCCATCCCCATCATGTCAATATAGTTTAGGTGCCGTATCGAGAAGATAATACACAGAAAGGGTACTATAGAGCCTACATACTGCAGTATTTGAGGGAAAATTAAAGAGAGGGAGTTGGTGATCGAATCCATATGTATTTTCATCGGACTGACTGGCAAGACAGCACATTAAACACACACTGAATATCCAGAGACATGCAGAGATAGAAGGAGAACGTCTGTGATCCCCAATGCTTCGTCATTAATGCTGGCTAGTTACTGCTAGTAAGCTCTCAAGTTTGTTAAAATTCATTACAGTTGTATGTGCTAAAAATGACCAAGCTCTAAATTTTACGAGCTAGCAACACGAGCTAACAATGATTGAAACTTCGTCATTTAAAGTAGATTAGATACAACATACAAATTAGGAATAGACCCCTTTGGTCCCCGAATATGAGATGGGGTTGTCCGAATATTGGTTATTTCAAAAATCATAGGGGCAGGAGCCTCCAGTCCCTCTATATTTCTAACATAGCCATCCAAAAAGTACATTTATTTCTAAAAATGTCATAACTATAATACGCAAATTCTCAATCCACCATGACCTTCGAGTTAAAGGTCTTCAGGTGAGGACCAATCGCCTCAAACATAATCATTCTTTCATTCTCATGATTCTGTTAAACGTATAACATCGCCTTTAAAAGGGCAATCCAACATTTGTATCAGGTTCGTTTGTATGAAGGCAGCAACTTAAATAAAAGAAAACTGAATGGATAGAGAGAGAGAGGGTGAATGGAGAGAAATAAATCGGACCAATAATAAGCAAGTAATGAATGTTCGAAAAATTTATCATTTCTGCGAATCTCAAATTAGCAGTTTTGGTAAGTGGATTGTGACGTAGACGCGGATAACTCTCCCGTTTGTCGGGTACAAAATTGTTTCTTTCTTTCTTTCTCCAAAGTGCCTTCTCCCTTGAGGCCCTTCTCACTTTATATTATGGATAGGATATTACCTTAGGTCCTCTAATATGAAGAGAAAAGACCCTCCTGAGTCATACATCTTTGAACAATTGAAAATGGTTTATTTTGTGTGTCGGAACGAATGGAATATATCTATAGTGATTACAACTATCTACAATTCCTAACTTTCTCATTTTTGTCCGATTTAATTCAAACTTTCCCCAGTCTTTTTCTCTGATTTTTCTGCTTTCCTCTAGTGAAGGTTGCTATCAAGATTGGATTTCTCTTTAAACTTTGGATGCAATCTGAAGAAGTTTATAGGATTAACACCCATAAGTAAACAAGTGCTATATAATGACTGAATCTAGCGATAAGCACCCCAGTCATTACCCTTTTCCTTTTGTACTCGTTGTTTATTTCAGACCATGAGGTTGCCGTGAATAATTCCTGTTGATCAAATACTGAGGTAGGTCACCGATTACCCTGTTCTCTTAGCAAGAAACGGTGCCCAGAAGAATAATGAAAGAAAACTGATTTATTGAAAAAGACGGAAATAAAAAATATACACTGATCGTATTGACAAAAGGCGCCCCTCCCCCTTCTCTCTCTCTCATTCTCTCTCTCTCTCTCTCTCTCTCTCTCTCTCTCTCTCTCTCTCTCTCTCTCTCTCTCTCTCTCTCATGCTATCTCTTTCTTTCACCGTTCCTCTCTTTATCTCTGTATCTTTTCCATTGCTTCATGGCTCACATCCTATTTCATGCCTTTATTTCCATTCCTAGGAGTTTCTTCACTAATCTCTCAGTCTTTCGTGTATCATGATAGGACTGAAATTTGTACAAATTTGACCCGGACACACAACAAAAACTTGGTCTTGATTCACCATGTTCATCGACAGCTAGTGCCCTCTTTGACATGTGACTGTCACAAACCTAACACTGTCTTAAGCATGATATCAAACAGGAATACAAAGAAGTGTTCATGACAAAGAAGAGTCAAAGGTTGGCTTTTATTGGGAGCTAAAGTAAATTGACCACTCGTCATCGATGCCTGATTTACTTTACCACTGTGTATTTGCTGAGTATTAAGTAAGAGAGCTAAGGAGTAATGTAAACCTCGCGTGAATGAGGCCGGGTTGAGTTAACTCCTGGGAAAGCAAATATATATATCAACAGCAAATTCGTTGATAGCTGGAGATATGACATTCTGTTATCACACCATGACCAAAATCAGAATTTTATTCTGATAATTATGATTATGGAATTTCTGGCCTATTCCTACAACTGTGCAGCATTTTCTGGAAAAATGTATTTTCAAAGGATATTTCATTGTATTAAAAGCCAGCTTCTTATAATCAACAGTCGAGCGCGATAGGTCAGTCGGTAGAGCAGTGGTCTCGTAATCCGGTGACCCGGGTTCGAAACCAAGACGATGCGCTAATAAGGCATTAATCCTCACTACCAGGTCCTTCGGAGAGGACCTAAAGCGGTCCGCCGTCTGGTTGCTTACTGACAAGCATTTATGCTTTCTTAGCAGTCAGGTACAAAAAAATAACCATCACAACTGTGAACTCCCCATCCCCACCGAAAAAAGCAATAGGTAGCCCTCAAGTCAGCAACTGGAAAAGAGTGGGGGAGGGGACACCAAAGATCTTTTTGTTTTCAGCATAAGAAGCTAAAGTTGGGAAACGAATGTCCCAATTCTAATTTCTTTCATTCTTTATTCTTTCCTTTCATTCATCGATTCATTCATTCATTCTTCTCTTTTTCTTTAAAAGTCTTAAAGGGATAGTTGAGTTCTTTTTTCAGACCGCAAATGCCATCAAAGTGCATGGTTATTGGTCTTATTCTTATCTTTGACATTTTATAGTGCCCTTGTAGAACCTAAAATTGCTATGAAGGTAATTTTAGACCCCAAAATGTGTGAAATTTAGCCAATACGATCATGCCAATTCAGCTCCTCTTTAAAAAAAAAACACGGTGACCGTTACTTAATTATTTAATTAAATATGACGTAAAAGGCGTTTCGTTTTTTTTCAACGGTTTTTTTTCAAATTTTTCACAATATTGTTTCGAAATCGTTATATTTCAGCCGTCTCTGAACCGATTTCGATCAAACAAAGATGATTTTGTAATTTAAATATTATGTTCTTTCAAATTTGACACTCTGTTTTTCATTATCTCACAAAAAAAATATTTTGTGTAGCGCCCTCTGCAACAGAACTCAACTATCCCTTTAAGAGAATAGGATACGGAAAGAACTTTATTACCACCTGAGGGCGCTGTGGTATATGGAGCCCAAGCGTGTTTGAGTGTTTGAGCCCACGCTCTTGTTTCTTTATGGTAGGCTGGCTTTTTAGCTCAATAAGAAGTGTCAATTTGGGGGTGGGGCGTTTCATGAGTGTCAGATTCTTCACAACAGCAGCTCCTCTACGAAGTTATACATGTAGAGTCGTATGTAGAGTCGTATGGAACCAGGGATAACGTTCACATTCGGAAATGTGAAAAAGTGATTTTTAGTCAAAGGATCCACAGATTTTAAACTTTTCAGACAACAACAACGAGGTAAAATATCTTGTTAATATGCAACATCTTGATGTATTGCAACAAATTTCAAACACACACGCGCACACACGCATACACACACACGCACAGTCGCTATTCTCGACTTTGCGATCGGCGCCAACT